AAAAAAGAGAGCCCACACACAGTGGTACAGTAGAGGCTGTTGACACCTTGCCCAATTCTTTGTATCAGGCGGGGCCACCCGCCGTTCAGCTGCTGTGGGGTTAGCTGCTAACAGCTCACCGCTGTGGCATTCTGAGAATTACCCCAGAACCCGTCACCAGGCACTTCCTCAGCGGTGACGGCCTCCTGTAAGGGGTGTGTCCCGCCTCCCTTCCCGACTTCATCTAAAGCAATAACTGGCACCAGCCAATGACTGACTGATTGGTCTGCCTCAAGATGGGACATGTGTGGTACCATCCCTGCCCCAGGGTTTCGCGGGGCCTCAGGCTGATGTTAGATGTCAACTGAACCCATGCCTGTAACTGGTTTCCTCCCTCCTCCATCTTTGCCCTCACTGCCTCACAGTTTCATCTACTAGTAAAAGTCCTTTCTCTATAACGTGCTTGCATAATCTGCTTCTGAGAAACCTGACCTAAGAATGTTAGCACCAATCAAGGTCCTAGAAAGGATGGGATTCTGGTGTTGGGGTACTTGCTGGCCACCCCATCATGAGTGCTATGGATAACCCTGGTTCCTGGTCGGCTGCAGCAGTCCATTTGCTAAGACCTTCACCTGTGGTGACCTGGGATTGGAAGTAGGTGGACAGGAATGTGCCAGCTGTTGCAGTGTCTGAGAAGTTTGGGGGAAATATCAGCTGTCAGGACTGTGGAATTGGGCTGCTATTGCTAAGCACCACTGGTGCACAGAATAGAGTGACAGGCTCAGATTCATCATCAACTGAAAAGCACAGTGTGAGGACCTCTTTGCCCATGGTCAGCCCCTTATCTCCTAAAGCACAGTACTTGACAGAAGGATGAATTCCCAGCCTAGGCCAGTCTGCTGCTTGACCAGATTGGGCTCCTGGTGCCAACAGATGAGCAGGTAAGGCAGGCCCTGGTAGGAAAGACAGGGGCCCCTAAAACTTGGGATGAGGAGTGTGGGTACATGTCCCTGCTCCCCTGGGCTGGCAGATGTGGCCCACTCTCCCTTGTTGGAAGATAGACCCTTCTCTTCCCCTCGCCCCCCAAGATTATGCAGAAAACTCCTGACCTCCCTCAGAACAATAGCTAACATCAAATTACAACATGATCTGACTGGGAAGAGACCCATGGACGTATGGACATAAGCTCAAAATGTGAGGATCTTTGAGTCATGCGTGAATGCCCACCAGAGAATATCCATTGCAGAAAAGGTACCAAACAACCAAGGGCACTGGATGGCCTGGCCAGCAAGTGCCAGCCAGCTTCTCCCTCAGCACCCAGTGCCCGCACAGTGGGCTCCTAAGTGGAGCAGTCTTGGCAGCAGAATGGGAGGCTGTGCATGGGCCCAGCAGCACGGGCTCCCTGCCATCCGGACCGAGGTAGCAATCCCGCTGTTGACTGTCCAACCACCAGCACGGAGATCTAAGCTGAGCCCCCGTTGGATACCATCCCATGAGTTGATTTCATGAGACCCGTTCTAGGCTGGAAAGTACAGCGATTCATCCTGAGTGGGGTTGACAGGTGTGCTTTCCTGCCCACAGTGCCTCAGTGAGCATCACTGTAGGGACTTGTGTGGTGTCCGATCAACCATAGAACATTGCTTTGATGGAGAGACTCATCATGTGCGTACATCACAGAATCGACCCACCAGTCCTACCACACACCACCCCGCTCAGAAGCGGCCAGCCTGACAGCCGTGGCGTAGCCTTTGGAAAGCGAGGATGAGCAGCGGCATTGGGCATGACACTGCGGGGTGGGGGTGCTAACCTTAAACCAAAGGCACCAGGCCCCCAGGAGGCAGAATATATGAATCTGGGAGCCAAGAGGTCAAATAAGTTGCGACCTTATTCATTATCACACTCCTGTCAAATATCCACATGGGGAATTTGTCCTCCCTGTCCCTGCAATCTTGGTCTCAGTGGACTAGAGAAGTGGTTCTCAACCTTCCTAATGTCGCGACCCTTTAATACAGTTCCTCATGTGGTGACCCCCAATTTCATTGTTACAAATTGAACATAATTAAAGCATAGTGATTAATCACAAAAAAAAATGTGAAAAGGGCGTGCGACCGCCAAAGGGGTCACGACCCACAGGTTGAGAACCGCTGCTCTAGAGGGAGTGGTTCCCAAGAAAGATATTTTCACCAGGGGGCAGAGGAAGAGTCCTACTTCAATCTCTGCCTCCCACCTGCTGCTGCTGTTGGTCCTTGGGTTCTGTCTTTCAGTCACCATCTCCCTCCCACTAATTCTACAGCCCCCTCCTTCTTCTCTGGCAATTCTACTAGTGATAGGTGTAGTGGGCGCCCCAGACTCTTGTCTGGCCATTGTTCTCTTTCATTTGCCCACTTACAGTTACAAGTGATGACATAAGAGGGTTGTGAAATGTCCTGGTGAGTCACCAGGCACCAGATGCCAGACACCTTCCTCTAGGAACAGCCGACACCCTCATGACGATCAGTACAATTATTGCCCCCCGGGTGTCTACTGGTATGAGGACATGGTGCTAGGATTCCTCCTGCCAGGAGCAATAAGCCTGGGCGGGGGAAGGCTGCAGGTGGGAATTTTCCTGAGAACCCAAGTAACATCATGAGGAACAGTCACAGAACAGATGAACATGCTATTCCTGGTGCTACTGGGGAACGTAAGAGAATCAAGTAGGAGTATTTTACTAGCTTGAATTGTGCTGAAAATTCTGAATTCAGTTTTTGTCCCCGATTTGCAAAGCCTTGGCCACTGAAGGATACATAACATTTGAATAACCATTCTGCCCCAAAGGTGTCAGAGGAAGAGCCTGTCTATAACCCTTTTAAGTCACAGCCCCCCTGGCTCCACCCTCCCCTGCAAGGTGCAGGCCTAATTGTGGGTCCCTTATCTGGTCCCTCAGGGCATTGGTGGAGCCAAGAACTGCTTCAATACCTATCACCCTCTAGTGTAGCACTTCAGGGTTGTTTGCTGATACCTGTGGGAATTCCTTTTGTATCTAGATAATGTAGTTACTTTCATTATCTTTATTATTATCTTATTGTTATTCAAAATTATTTCATGCACTCTTATGAAGAAGAAAATAAGTTCTAGCAAACAGTCATTTCTGGTGAGATTGCAGGTTATGTTAGATGCTTGACCAATTGGTTTTAACTATTTTAAGTTTCCTTTCCTACTTATAAAAAGAATATATATGTAGGCTATCAAACGTTTAAAATATACAGAAATGCAAATCAGACATAACCTAGATAACCACTGTAAATATTTCACCTCATTTTGTCTATAAAAATGCATATTTAAAAAAAATTGGAGCCATAGTCATTGGGGGAAGGGGGAGCTTTGTATTTTAGTCTTACTGAAAAATTCCCATCAAATCTCTGAGGAAATGGGCAAGGCTTTGACTAGACTCAACTAGACACACCAGTTTGTCCTCCCCCTCCCCCTCCACCCCTTCCACCACCCTACTATGGGCTTACTCCAACCCAGACATTTGAGAGCATCTGGTTGTTGAGCTAGAGTTGGTTTCCCAGTTGTAACATGTCTTTGACTCCAGTTCTTAGTAGCTCTGAAAGACTGAGACAGCCAGCTCAGACTTCCCTAGAAACTGGCAGAGACTTGAGCAACAGCAAATGCATGAAAGGAAGGGAAAGAAGGTGGGAGGGAGGGGGGGTGGGAAGGAGGCCACAAGAATATGTGAAATCTGAGAACTGTTGATTGAATGGTTAGGAGTGATCCCCTTCCTTTGGGCCAAAGACAGGTTTGCAAAGGAAATGGAAGCTTCAGACACAGACTGGCCTAGATGTCCAAGTTTACACTCTGGGCCACCAAGCAAACGATATTCATCCAGCCTAGTACCCATGGAAAGATCCTAGAGGGAGCTCCTTTGTGAACTCTGGAGAGCTCCTGGGATGGGTTAGGCAGGAAGTGACCCCTTGCGTTAACCCCTAGATGGCCAAGAAGGAGCTTGGAGAGCAGCACAGCACAACAGTTAAGGGTTCGGGCACTGAAGGCTTACAGACCCAGCTCAAATCCAGCTCCATCTCTTTGGGTGAATTACTTAACCTCTTTGTGCTTAAGGTCTTTTCATCATTTATTGTATAAAACGGAGGTAATGCTGTACAGTCTTCCTGAGAGGATTAAATGAGATGACTTAGGCATTTTGTTAGCATATTATCTTTCGCAACTAGCTCCCCACACTTGTTCCTCCAGGGGCTTGGGCATTACTTTAAGGCAGTTCTCCACCACCACCACCCCATCCCCCAAGTGAAAATGATGTACGTCAGTTTATATGATAGAGTTGGTCCTTAAAAAGCCATCGCGAATTGTAAGGAATAGAGAAAAAGCTAGTTTGAAAGAAAATAAAAAATCGTTTGCCCTGTGGGGTAGGAGCTGCCGCCGAACTCACTGGAGCTACAGTGGTCCCTTTGCGCCATCTAGTGGACAGCAAGGGAAAAGCCATAGTTTTATCAACAAGGTTGGTAATTTGCCAAAAACATTTAAACTCACTAATGGGTTCACTTGTTAACAAATTTCATTGAGCAGTTTAAGCAACTAAAAGAGTAGGATTCTAAACATTTAGCGCTAAAACTCAGCCTAAGTTCCCCAAACCAGTTCGGAGGTAGGTGCGCTGTGCGGCAAAGATCGCCCGCTGCGGGAAGAGCAGCCACCCAGTCCTTACCGGCGTGAGTCTTCATGGCCCATCTTTCCCATCCTTCTCGCCCTTCTCCACCAAGATGCTTTATGCTCATTCTGGTCCATGAACTGGGAAGTATCTTCCCAACATGCTGCCAGACCTTGGCTGGTACTGGAGCCAACGCACCATTCGGCTCATTTTCTAAGAATGCAAGCATCACTTAAAATATTGCTGTACTCACATTGAACGTCTGTCCAGGGCCTATATGTTTGCAGTGGGTTTTCTGGGGTGTGTGTGTGTGTGTGTGCTCTGTGTTTCCTTTTAAAGCCATGTATTTATTACCTTTATAATTTGTTTCCTCCCCCAGATGTTTACGAGGATGAAGACAATGGCAGACAAACCGCCCCCGAATGTGAGTAATAATAACCCACACTTGGAGTGCTGTGCTGAGACCTCTGTAGTATCATCGCTATTACTATTAACAATAATCATAACAGTGTTATCTGTTAAATTCCTATGACGTGCCAGACATTTGTAAACATTTTTGCAAGTTCTCACACCAACCCTGCAGAATAGAAACCATCATCCCCATTAGAGACAAGGAGCTGGTGCTCAGAGAAGTGGCTTACCTGAGATCGCACAGCCGTGAGCGCTTGGCAAAGTCAGAATTACTCCCAGGTCTGACTCCAAACC